AGTACAAAATAGTCTGGGGACGATTCTTGGATCACTTTTTGACTATTTCGGAGTATTTTTTGTATTTTTAGTTCTTCGTCCAAAACCTGCTTGTGGGAGGACACGCCCGACCGAATGCATGCTGGTGCAGGGGTGGACCCAAACGCTGTTTTGCTGAACTTCGGCTGTGTTTTGTTTTCGTTTTGACAGGGAGGTGCAGGAGCACAGGCAGAGCAAAACGAATAACAAACCGAAGAACACCGTTTAGGTCTGGCCCTGTGCTGGTGTGCGGCATGTTCATGGCGTGTCGACCGGCGGCGACCCCGCCAGCAGCGCTCCACTTTGAACGCCGCGGGCGACCCGGAATCGGTCGATGTGGAGCGACTTGGACGTTTCGGAAAAGGCCGATCGTTCAAGGTTGAACGAGCCCCGCGGTGTCAGAAGCCAACGCCGAAGTCGGCACGACACGAACCTGCCGTAGGTGCAAGAGCTCACTGTTTGGGGTCCACGTTGGCCAGCACAAGCATTCGATTTTCCAAGTCCGCGCGCGCGGATGCAAGGTCCCAGCGCGGACCGCAAACAGTTGACGTTTTCATGCAGAGGTTGTTCTGTTCTGTCCCTCCTTTCTTCGATTGGCTCGCTCCGTCGATCTCTTTTCTTCGATTGGCTCTCTCTTTCGCTTGGCTCCCTCCCTTCCTCGATTTTCTCTTCTTCGACTGGCACGACGTCGAAACCAACGCCGAAGTCGGCACGACACGAACCTGCCGTGCCCCCACCCCCCCCTGTCGGGGGGAGGAGGAGCGACACCAACACCACCAGGGGGCCCACCTCCAGCAAGAGGGTCCACGATGCTTCCCCGAGCTGGGGATGTCTCGAGCGAGAGGGGGGGACCACACCACCAGGGAGATCCCCCTTGCCTCCTCGCATCGCCTCGCCCCGTTGGTGTTGGTGTCGCGCCTTTCCTTTTGTTCCTGCCCTTTGGGGGGGCGCCCGCCGCAGGTGCGCTGCAGAGGCGGCGCCTCGTCCAGCAGCGCGCCCCCGCCGCCGCCGAGCGGGGTGGGCGCCGGAGGGCCCGCCCCGCCCCGCTCCGCACCGCGCCACCCTCCGGTGGGTAGCCTTCGAGCAGAGGGAGGAGGAGGAGGAGGAGGAGGAGGAGGAGGAGGAGGAGGAGGAGGAGGAGGAGTTACTGGAGTTTACTGGTTTGCGGACCGCTGTCCAGGCCTTTCAAAAGGCCCCAGCGACAGCAAAAGCGCAAAGGGGGGCCAGAACGGCCCGACCTCGTCCACTACTTTCCCCCAGCGGGCTCCACGGTTCCTCGGCCGCTCGATGGCTGGCGCGGGTCCTGTGCGGCGGCGTTGCCGTCAGTGCCTCCGCGTGTGGGAGGTGGGGGCAGGGGGACCCGCCTTTCAACGACGACCGGGCGCCGACGACTCCCAGCCTGTCCCGCTCCGCAGTGGCCAGCAGGATTGGCCGAGGCGGCCCTTCCCTTCTCGGGAATAGGCCGCGACTCACCCTCGCGAGATTCTCTACTCCCTTCGGGGCCTCCCCGCAGCATCTCCCTTTCAGGGAGCGGGGATCGAGCGTGCAGTAATGCCCACAACTCGTGCACATCGTCATGAACCAAGCTGGGAAATAGACGAGCATGTGGGACTCATGACACTCAGCAGCGACTCTCCTCGCGGCATCGGGGGCAAAAGGGCAGCTGGAAACAGACAGTGGCAGCGGGAGGGCGCTGCATTCTGTCACGCAAAACTCACCGCGGCCACAATGACTTCACACGCAGTACACCACCACCTCACGCCACAACGCTCAATTTTGTGGGCCGACGCTCGAAACATCCTCTCACGCTTGCGGGGTCTAGTCACGCGCTCTGGGCGGGAAGAGGGTGGCAACGCTGCTGAGGCTGCTACTGAATTGATCATCGCGCGTCTCGCACGCTTTCTCACCAGCGCGGCCGTGCAATCTACCTGATCCGTATCAGGCATGCGGCGTATAAGAGCCCTCTCCCCCAGCTCCGCCCCTGTCCCCGCCCACAAAATCCGCCGTCATATTTCCGCAGGTGACGGCACGTTCCCATTCGCTCGTGAGCTGCTCTGGCGACTCATCGAGGTGGGAAGGCGTCCCGGTTACATCAATCAGGGAGCGGTCGGGTCTTTCATTCCACACTTCGCGCGCGAGGGTCCAAAGGTCCGCGTTTGGGCCCAGGGTCCGCGGTCCTCCAAACTGGGACCGCCAGGCTTTCAGGATGGCCAGGTGGTCCGTGACGAACACGAACGGGCCCTGGACCTCTTGCAGCGCAATCGAAAAAGCAAACACTTCCGCCCTGGGGACCGTCTGTTTATCCCCTGGGAGCGGTTTGCAGACAGCATCCCCGAGGGAAAATTCACCATCCTTGTGCGCTAAGGGGGCGATCGCAGATCCACATCGGCGCCGGCGGGGGTCGTCGCCATTACTCCCCCCATGAGCCGTCGCCGAAAACATACATGTGCCCTCGAAAGAGGCACCGCGAAAAGTCCTCGGGGCCCCCAAGCCTGTCCCCGAGTCCTCGAATCACCTCGCCGTTGTACTCAGGGTGGGTGAGGGCACGAGAAGAGAGGCCCCGACGCGAAGCGGCTCACTGTCACATCTCGCAACAGCCAAAGGAAGCAACGCTTGACGACGAAAAATCCTCATGCTGACAAGTCTGCTCACATGTCCAAATGCGATGCATCAGCGTTTCGGGCTCCTTTCCGCTGCGTGCGCAAACAGGGTTAGCCAGGTAGCCCTGGTCGACGAATCTCTGTCGTGTCCACCGGCTGCCGCTGACCGCAGCGACAGTGGTAGCTGCAAGCTCCACTTGTCCAGACCTCTCCAACCGCCGCTGTTCTCGCGTGACCTGGTATAAGTCGCCGCCAGCCTGGGGCCCTTGCCCAGCCTCGTCGTTGGCAGCAGCAGCCCAGATGTCCCCTGATGTCCGCTTCCCCATCAGCCCGCAGCGGATGGAAAGAAGCCGCGCCTGAAAAGTTGTCATCGCTCGCGCGTGGAGTGTCCCATTGGTCCACGGGGTCGCCATCGTACTGCGTAGGTTCAGAGCCCCGAATCATCAGGGGTAACTCGGGTCAGGGATAACTCGGCTTCGTTTTTTCGGGAATCCGAACCCGAGTTACCCCGGACCCGAGTTACCCCGGATATTTCGGGCGCCCAGAGCCCCGAATCATCAGGGGTAACTCGGGTCAGGGATAACTCGGGTTCGTTTTTCGGGAACCCAAACACGAGTTACCCCGGGCCCGAGTTACCCCGGATAACTCGGGCGCCCAATAGGTCTCAGCCACGACGTCGCGGCAACAGGACCCCAGCCAATGTCCGTCCGTGCAGCCTGCAGCGCCGAGTTCGGGCCCCGCATCATTCAGGAGGGGAAGAAACACACAGACACGATTAATCCTCGATTCCCCAGGAAGTAGGGGAAAATATGGGAAGTGGGGGGGAAGACAGAGACCCAGAAAATATGGGAAAATATGGGGGATATGTTTATTTGTATATTTATTTGTGTGTTTGTGGGCCCCTTCAATCATGCCCCCCCCCCCCCCCCCCCCCACCACACCGTCCGATGTCCTCAATATCGCGCGGATCCGACCCCAAGGCTTGATGGCGCGCTCATGGACTTCAGGATGTCGTTGCCACGACGCAATCCACCCCTTTGCAGCCTGCGTCGGCACCTCGACCGCGGGGTCCAGCATCGACTCGTCGCGCCCAATCGTCGCAGTCAAGCATCGGCCCCAGCCTTGCCTCCCACCATATGTCCTGCTTGCCGCCGCAGTTGAAGTAGCGTCCTCTCGTGCCGAACGCGTTGCGCCAGTAGAGCGCGTGCGGAACTCCAGCGGCACTCCAGAGGCCACGCGCTATCTTCTTCAGAGCACCCGCTCGTCGTAGACGTCATACCTTACCAGTCATCAGCAGCGCTCTCCTCATTCGCTGTGATTGATGTGCCGCCGTCCTCCTTCTGCCGGCTGCTGCGCCAAATCCCAGATCAACAGTTGCGGCCGCCGCCGTCACATGTGGACCTCCAGACCGAAGGCGTCGCGCAACTCGCGCCGTGGCTGCAGGCTTCGAGCCAATCAGCATTGTCTTGGGCGAACTGACCATGCGTTGATCCTCCAGACATATCTCGAGGTCTGCATCATTAACTCTCCCACCGAAGCACGACTACTTTCGCGCCTCGTCGTCGCGTCGCCCACACAAGTCCAGAGGCCCGCGCCAGGAGAGCGCCCTGAACAAAACCCAATATAGGGTGCAGAAATAGTTTGGCGAGTCCGACTCCTCTCGGTGATCCCGCAACAATCGACCGCGCAGGCGAGATCCGTCTGCTCAACACCGACCCCTCCTGCAAATACCTCGGTACCAAAGAACATTGCACTTCCAGTGGAATCAACGCTGCTGGGTGGCCCCCGCAACGAAACCGCATCAGAAAACTTCTTGCTGTCCAGCAGCAAGGTCAGGGAAGCCAAGCCCAACTCCACTCCATATTCATCAAGGCACGCACTATGAAGTCCAGCCCGCAACGCCGAAGAACCTTTGATGACGGCGCCCCAGTGGTCCGTGAGGCCGTCTGGCCAGGATCCACTCAGATTCGCGCGCGCCTTGCTCCAACCCTTCGGCATCAGAGGTGCCATTCCCAGAAGACGGTCCCCCCATTTGGGCTTACCCGCCAACGCGCAACACGTAACTGAACATTGTATCGGCCAAGTACAATGCTCCTCGCAGTATCTGACCGTCTCTGTGAACCACCTCCGGCTTGAACTGGCAATCTGCGAACCGCCCCAGGGCCAATGCCGTCGAACCCCATCGCCTTTGCGTCACACGCGGAATCGAGGATCATGTCAATCTGATCCACCGTCAATTCTGGCAAGTCCTCCTCCTGCGCCTCCTTCCGCAACTGAGCCAGGTGCATTTTTGGTTCGTGGTGTCGACGGGGTCTTTTCAGATGGCCTCCCAAATCTGTGCCTTGTGCTCCATGACTGTGTCGGGGTCCGCCATCTGCCTGCCTCTCTAAGTTGATCGCCAGCTCGAACCGCGTCTCCGCCTTGTCCTTTACATGTCTGGGCAGTGCGCCTGGTTTTGATGACCGCATCTGCATCGCCCATGGCGTAAACTGCTGGCGTTGCGCGGTGAGGCCACGCGCTTGGGCGACCGTGTCGTGGCGCCCCGCCGCGTTGAAGAAGTCCTTGAGCTTGTCCACCGTGCTGTTCTCCATCGCGTCCAGCTGCAGGTAGTAATCCTCCTTCTCCGACTTCGCGATCCTCGCGCCAAAGACTTCGCCCCGGCCCATGTCTTGCAAGTGGTGCGCCTCCGCCTGGGGCTCCTTCGCGCAGGTCTGCCGCCGCTTCCCGTCCTTGTTCGCCGTCCTCAGGGCCAGATGCCTGCCTGACACCGTCGAGCAGATGCCCCAATGCCCTGCCGCTGCGCGGCGCAAATGCGCCCTGCCAGGCGCAGGTCTCGATCTCGTCATCTTCGCGCCAAGGCCCGCAGCACGGCCCCGGTAGAGGCGGTTCTGATGCTCGTCTCACTTGGGCGCGGCCAACGTGGCTGACTCCACCGCCGAGACCCACTTGCCGTACGCGGTCGTCACTGCGCCCTCCTGCACCTCGTGGTCCTCCGTGGCGCGGTAGAGGCAGTCGCTGTTCGCCCCCATTTCCCCCGCCAAGCTAAGTGCGGGGTGCCGTCCCTGACGGCCTGCAAATGTCTTGCAGATGCGCATCCGAGCTCTCCTTCTTCCTCCTGGCTGACTCCTGCCTCTTCAGGGTGCGCCTGCTCGTCGCGTCGGGCTGCGCCTTGGGCCTCATCGGGATGGAGGGCTGTCTAAGCATCGCCGCCGTTCGATGCCACCATGGCCTCATTGCACCTGCCGCGCGAAGCCGTGGCCCGCAATGTGTCCTCCACGGCGCCCTCGGTATCGCTTCCAGTCGCAGTCGAGGAAGTAGGTCGCGCCGTGCTGCGCCATAGTTTATCAAGCTGACCTTGCCCTTGTCACGAGTGACTTCCACATCAGGCCGCAGGGGCCCGCCGCCAATCTTCTCCATGAAATTGGCGCTCTCCATCTTACCGTAGGGGATGTTGCAGCCCGCCAGTATCACCCGCGGATTCGTGATCGACTGCACGAAAACGGCTAACTATTTCACCCTATCAAAGTTGGCGCCGCCCAGGCCGTGCTTTTGGCAGGGGGCGCGCCGAAATGCGCACCAGGTTGCCACTGCGCGTGTGCGCGCTCACTGCTGGTAAGCCCTGAAAAGGGTCCTTCATGCCCTCCTGCTTTCCTAACCTCGCCGTAGCCCGTAGCCGCCACATGCGACCGAATGGCAATGGCTTCGCCCCCCGAGGTGCCGTGCTCCGAGCGCTACGTGGAGGTTGCTGCCGTCGCCAGTTATCTCCATGCATCTCCAGCTAACATAGCTTCCTCTTGCGGGATGTCCTTCTCTGCCACATGCGTCTGGAACATCATGAATATATCCGCGTGATTGCCAGGCTCGTTGAGGTACTTTCGGGCCAATTGGCCCCGGGTGGCGATGTTCCCGAACGCGATGTTACAGATGAGAAGCATCCACGCCACCATCGCCCATGGCGTCGTCGCCGTCCTTGTCCGTCTTTGTGGTCGCGAGCCTCGCTGAGGAACCCGCTGGGCCCTTGGCCCGCAGACGGGCTTTGGACTCGTCCCTAAGCCTCTGCGGGGTGGCCTTGCGACGGGTAGCTGTGGCGGCTGCCTCTTCCTTGTCTAGCGGCTCCGCTTCCTGCTGGGCGTCCACCTTCTGCTCCTCTTGCGCAGCCGCCTCAACCGAATCACCAGGTACCGCAACCGCGATGTCCTCCGTGCCCACCTTTCTGCGTTTCGCCTCCAAGTGAGTTGTCTGCATCTCCTGTGCCTGCCTCGCGAGCTCGTCGAACTGCTTGTACTGTGTGTGTGCGCGTTGCTGTCCAGCACCGCCAATGCCTTCGTGTCCTTTTTGAACTTGAGCAACATCTGCCTGTCCTCAGGCTGGTAGTCCTCGATGTCCTCAAACAGGGCCTCTTCCACCTCCGGAGCTTCGTCTCGGTCGTCGCGTAGTATTCGCCCAGCAAGATGTGCGCGGCGTTGACGCGAAAGCCACAATTCAAAGAACAACCCCCTCAATATGTGAAGCCTTTCTAATTGTTTAACGAATGTGCGCGGCGCTCAGGCGAGAGCCACATTTTGAGCGCGGCACGGCCTCAATCCGTGAAACCTTCGCAATTTTTGTTTAAGGAATGCGCGCGGCGCTATGGCGAGAGCCGCACTTTGAAAACTACCCGCCCTCCATATGTGAAACTGTTGTCAAGTATTGAGTAAGCTTCAGAGTCACGAGTGGTGAGGAAGTCTCAGGCGAAACGCCCGGCCCGCCTGGGGAGGAGGGGGAGGAGGGGGAGGAGGGAGGCCCAGAACTTTCTTCGGTGGCATGGTCGCAGCCGCCAAGGCGCGCGTGGCATCTACGAGGCGTTTCTTCTCCGCAGAAATATAGTACCGTGACGTATATGTGTATACGAATGTGCATGTATGTAGATATGTATGTATGTGTATGTATATATATATATATATAGACACGTCGCACCCGCAAATGCGGATGAAAGTGAGGGGGCGGTGGAGACGTCGGCAGTTGTTTTTTTCGTTGAACAAGTGTGGGTCGGTCGCGGGTGGGGCGCGGGTGGGTCGCAAATGGGTCCCGGGAAGGTCGCTGTTGGTTCGCGGGTGGGTCGCGGGTGTAGAGGGCAGAATCCACCCCATAATATTCACCCCGACAAGCGAAGCAGTTTAGTAAACGCACGCAAGGAATGACTCGAAGAGGGCAGGGCTGTTTAATAAACGCCCAGGGCCGTTTAGAAAACGTCCGTTGTCGGGTCCTGTTGGTTTTTCCTCCCTTTAGGGTGGGTCGCGGGGTGGGTCACGGGTGGATCGCGGGGTGGGTCGCGGGTGGGTCGCGGATGGGTCGCGGATGGGTCGCGGCGTGGGTCGCGGATGGGTCGCGGGGTGGGTCGCGGGTGGGTCGCAGGTGGGTCGCGGGTTTGGTCGCGGGTTGGGTCGCGGGGTCGCGGGATGGGCCGCGGGGTTGGTCGCGGGTTGGGTCGCGGGTGGGTCGCGGGTGGGACGACGACAACAAACGACAACAACAACAACCACAACAACAGCAACAGCAACAATAATTTTAAGACTGTCGCCCTTATATGCTCGAGTGTCCAATAACGTGTATTTCCCAAACCCTCGATACCCGCCATCTTCGTCTTCGATCGAACCCCTTTTGGGGGGTATACCTTTCTTCCCTGCAGGCCTGGCCCCGACAAGCGGCGGGGCGGCCGCGGACCGTCGGCCTGGCCAGCGGCAGCGCTGATCGGCGGGGCGGCCGCGGACCGTCGACCCGACCCGAAGAGGGACGGACAGGGGACCGACCACGACGACGACGACGACGACGACGACGACGACGTCGAAGACGACGGCGACGACGACGACGACGGCGACTACGAGCGAAAGCGAGAGCGAGAGAGAACGACAGCAGGGCCACGAAGGGCACGAAGTAGGCCATGAAGGGCGACATCGGGGACACGAAGGGAATGCGTGAGCGCGAACGACCGGGGGCCACGAAGTGCAGATAATGCGGGGCCACAGAAGGCAACTATGGGGCCACTGAGGGTAGCAACTGGGCCACGTAGGACAGTGAGGGGACACAAATGGAGACAGCGGGGCCACGAAGGGCATGCACATGGGGCCACAATGGGCGCGACTCCTGGGTGCCTGGGTGTCGGGAGCGCGGCGCTTGGGCAAATTGCAAGAAATTCCAACGCAAGACCATTCTTCAGTAAATTGTAAGCAAGTCTCCAACGAGAGCGCGACTCCAGAGCGCCGGGAGAGCGATTCCGGAATAAATTGTAAGGAAGTCCCAAGCGAGAGCACGATTCCTGAATAAAATGCGAGGAAGTCTCGGGCGGGAGCGGGGGTCCTGGATAAATTGTGAGGAAGTCTCAGGCGGGAGCCGTTGTTGTTGTAACCTGGGGGCCAGGGAGGCAGTTTGACCAGGAAGACTTTCCCTGACAAAAAAACAATGTGCGAGCGTCGAGGGGCACACTTTGATTGAGAAAAAACAGTATGCACCGGTGGGGGGGATCAACAATTTTTATTCTTCAGAAGTGAGAATTCAACAACAACGCAACAAGCAGAATTCTCATCACGAATTCCGTATCTATTCAGCCACGCACCCAGGGACAATGAATGAGCATTCGGTCCCCTGGCTCTGATTTGTATATATATATATATATGTGTATAGATACAAGGCTGCATTGGCGTTTAGCGCCATGCATGTTGGTCATTGAGGCTTTGCATATGTTGGTCGTTCGCACCATCCCTAGTGGCCTTGTGAATTTGGCCCCTTCCCTGCGGCGGTTTTCAGAACTCTTCGAAGGTTCGGGCGATCCCTGGCCCGTCCCGGGCCTTTGGGGGCTCCCGAAAGGTGTCGGGTGGAGGGCGAATCATAAGAACGAGGGAATCTCGGAAAGCGAGGAAAAGAAGCGGATGAGGAGGGCGCCGTCGGGGGACGGCGAAGAATGTTGCAGCGCGTTGCAGCGGGTCGAAGCGGGGCACGCGAACGCAAGCAGCAATTCTTAAGGAATGCACCCAGTCCCGGGTTCGCAACAGAATTCCGGGATTTATGGTTGCGAGCCCGGGATTCGGGTCAGTTTGGTGGAAAACGCCGTGTGGGCCTTGTTGGAGCCCTGGTGGGCCGGCCGGCTTGGGGCCGTCTCGAGCCGTCTTGGGGCCATCTTGGGCCGTGTTGGGGAGGTTGGGCGTAGGCCCTCCTGTTGGCCTCCCATGGCCTCATGGGGGCCTCCCATGGCCTTCTTGGGCCTGTCTTGGGGGCCTTGTGAAGGCCTGTTGGGCCTCCTTTTGGCTCATTCAGAGTTTCCTTGGGCAGTCTTGGGGCCGTCCAGGCCGTCTGGAGGCTCTCTTGGTGGTTTCTTAGGCCGTTTTGGGGCGATGCAGAAGGCCGTCTTGGCTGCTGTGGACGTTTCTGAGACCCGAACAGCGAATCTGCTGAAAAGGTAGGTACGTTTCCCGAAGGGAGTGCAGCGATGTTTGCGTTCTGGGAGTCCTGTTGAGGGCCTCCTGGGCTGTCTTAGGGGCCTCTGGAGGCCCTCTGGGTCCTTCTCGAAGCGTTCTTGTTCTGCGTTGGGTCTTTCTTTGGCCTCTCTGATCACCGCTCTGATCGCTTCGGGGCCTTGTGAGGGCCTGTTGGGCTTCTTGTTGGCTCATTTGGGGTTCTCTGGGCAGTCCTGGGGCCGTCCAGGCCGTCTAGAGGCTCTCTTAGGGGGTCTCTTGGGCCGTCTCGGGGCGATGCCCGAGGCCTTTTTGGTTGTTTTGGACGCTGCTAAGACCAGAACTTCGAATGTGCTTCAATTTCACATTTTTCTTAGAGAATGAAGCGATGTTTGCGATCTGGGAGCCCCGTTGAGGGCCTCCTGAGCCGTCTTGGGGGCCTCTGCAGACCATCTGGGTTCTTCTCGGAGCGCTCTTGTGCTGTCTTGGGTCTTTCTTCGGCCTCTCTGATCACCGCTCTGATCGCTTGGGGCTTGCTGGCAGGATCAGGCCAAGCGCCCTTGGATGTCCGGGACAAGCCGGGGGACCTTTGGCAAGGATGT